GCAAGGAACAATATATTCTAAAATGAAATGGAGATATTTTTTAAAGGTTAAAACCTCATTCAATTTTATGTCTTATAGGACTTATACTGAGCTGAATATTGTGTAACTGTATTAATTCAGCTGTGAACCTAGAAACTTACAGCCACTTGTAAACGAGATGTACTCTTGCTCTAGAGTGTGAAACTGAGTATGTTAAAGCTGTAATGAAATGCTTCTTCTAATTATGTAGTTATTAAAAATTTAAAAAAATATTACCAAGAGTTTTATGAAAAGGGCACAATAAATTCTACCAATTTCATTTTTCTATTGCATTTAAATTATTCAAATGTCTGAGAATCCACTGCATACAAATATGGTTCCTGTAAAACAAATTCCAAGTGGCCGGGCATGGTGGCACAGGCCTTTAGCAAGCGGATCTCTGTGAGGTCAAGACCAGCTTGGTCTACATCGTGAGCTCCAGGCCAAGCTAGGCTACAGGGAGACCCTGCCTCAAAACAACCAAAAAAATAAAAAATAAAAAAATCCAAGTGATATAAAATATGAAATGAATTATTAATAAGGAAAAAGCAACTAAGTCAAATTGTTACCAGAAAGAGAATGACAAAATGCAACAGAAATCCAGTGAGATCACTTGTGGCTGGGGTTGCTAAAGAGGAATCAAGGACTGACTGAGGAATTAGAGGAAAGCTAGGAATGGTGGCACATGCCTATGATCCTAGCACTTGGGAAGCTGAGGCAGGAGGATTAAAGAGAGTTCAAGGTCACCCTGGGCTACATAGTGAAATCTTGTCTCAAGAAGACAAAAACAAAAAGAGGATCAAAAGGTAACACCAGGCTTTGGGGACACTGGAAACAGAGGTGTAGGGAAGAACAGATCAGGACATATTTGTACACAGTACATGAATGAGTTTAGTTAGAGCAGACAGACAACTGGTCCAAGTGGAAAATGTAATTGAAAAACAGATTGAGACTCAACAGAGGAAGCCTGGAGTCTGGGTATTTTTCATCTTTGAGCAAATCAGTGTGGCTATCCAAACTAACTGATAGATGGCTGAGCAGTTAAGAGCTTACTCTTCTTCCAGAGGACCTGAATCTGTTGTCAGCACCCACATCGGGTGCCTCACAACCTCCTGTAACTCAGCTCCAGGGCATCTGATGTCCTCTTCTGGACTCTGAAGGCACCAGCACACACATGTGGCAAACATACATATAGACATAAATAAAATCTTAAAAAATAAGCAAACAAACAAAAAATATGCTATGTCCAATGATCTCTTACCTCCATTTTTGCATTTGACCAGCGTGGAACTTCAACAACCATGTGGAACACATCCTGGAAAAACACCAAGAAGGTGAGTCAGGAGGAGTGGTTTGCTCTCAAGTCAGTGTTCCTGCCCTATTTCTTCCGAAGTTTAACTGTTCACTGTATCAGCTCACTGAACTCAATGAAATTTCAACAAAATACAGATAGAATGATGGGTGAGACAGCAAACACAGAAAATATTAACTGTAGAATCAAGGTGGTAGGTGTGGAGTTGTTCATTGTACATAATTCTTTGAACTTATAATGTTTAAGATTTTTCATAATAATAAAGTATTTGGGTGTTTCTAAAAATAATCTTTCCTGAAAGGAGGGAAACAGTTTTTGAACAAATAAAATAGAACTGCATCTCTGAAAAAGGCTGTCATCAGAACAGTCCCCTCCAAAGGCTGGTATCATTTCCTCAGGGTTACTGAAATTACTCAAAATGGCTTTGGAGCTCCTCTTTCAGAGGCATTTTGTAAGAGAAACCCTGAATCAGCCTAATGACCTGGTTTGGCTTCTGTACCAAACATTAATCGGCTGGATTACCTATATAATTCTCCAAATTTGACTGTTTTAAAAAGTCAAGAACTCCCTAAAAAGAACTAGAAGTTTGACATGACTGGTAAGAACACAGTCCAATGCTTTAACCAATGGTAGTCCTAGATTCTCAAAGTGAACATGTTCACAAGCAAAAGTTCCTAGATGCCTACAGTTTAAAAACACACATACCAGGTTAAACATGGGTTTGACACAGGCTCTCTAAAACTGAGTTTCAAGTAGTCCAAACTCTGATTTCTATCAAGGAATAAAACCATAAATGTAGTTTTTCAGTCCATACACTTTACAAGCGTACAGATGAAACTTAATCTGCAGCTGTTCTTTCATAAAGTTTATCTTTCAGCCTGCTGTGGTATACACATTTATAACCCAGCATGAGGGAGGCAGAATCAGGAGACTCATGAGTTCAAGGCCAGTGTGGGCCACAGAGCAAAGCTGGTCTCAAAAAAGAAAGAAAACAAATAAATAAAAAATAAACCAAGTAAGGGCGAAAGTTTTCAGCAACAATACCCTGAAAGTTCACAAGGTGGAGCTATTAGAATAGGAAAGATTAAATAAGGGGGAAAAAATTTTTCTTTTTTTTTTTAGGAAAATTCCACAGAATGCTTGGATATGGTACACACCTGTAAACTTATCACTCAGGAGGTGGAGGCAGGAGGATCAGAAGGCCAGTCTTGGCTTCAGATCAAGTTGAAGGTCAGCCTCGGATACATGTGACCCCTATCAAAGTCATGGAATGAATTCATTGCTTTAAAAAAAAAAAAAAAAAAAAAAAAGAAAGAAAGAGAAAAGAAAATGGACTCACAGCTTCCTGGAGCCAGCAGCTTGCCTGGGTAAGTTTGGCCCCTGTACCCACTGCACCTTGACTCCCTCAGCCTCATTCACCCTTCCAGCTCCCCACCCCATCTCTCCTCCTATCAGGGGCACTGGCCCATCTCTTGTTGTAGACCTTTGGACTGACCTCTTAGCTCAGAATCCCCAATGCTTCCAGATTCTTTGCATCCAGACCAACCCAATTCCTCCAGTTAGTCCCCAGGAGCCCTTGGGCCTCTTCCCGCCCCTACCTCCTTTTGCATCCCTGGGTGGCACAGCCACCAGCTTCCTGAGACCAGCATCTTTCCTGGGCCCTGCTCCCAGGCCAGCCCAGCCCTCAAATTCCTGAGGCCAGTATCCTTCCTGGAGGGATCCTGACCTTAGGAAAAAGCATGAGAGCACCTGATCCTCATCCGACTTGGGCCTCTGTGGGAACTCTTGAGCAGCAAGACGAAAGCAATTTGGCCATTCCAATATAAAATCAAAAGAGAGAACCTGAAGCCTAGACCAACCAGCTTTTCAAGCTCAACAAGTAAACACAAAGGCACATAAAGTTTACAAAAAGCAGACCTAAACTCAACAAATGAAGGCTTGAGTCTCACACAAGAACCAGAATCTACAAAAGACATCCACATGTCCAGAAATCCACAGGGCCCAGGTTGGATTCCCAGCACTGCAGAAACCAGGCATGGACAGCAAGCCCCAATCTTAGTCAAAGAGTATTGGGAGCTGATTACTGCTGGGTGAGGAAGAGCTGATCTTCTTAAAGGGGGGGACTCTGGATAGGCTGACTAGGACTCAGTGTATGAACTTGCACTGAGGGACATCTGGAGACACTAACTTGACATGATAGGCCTTAACACAAATGACAGACTATATGGATTCAAGGAGGGGGAGGGGGGCTATGGGAAGGGGCCAATGGAGAAGAGGGTACAAAGATGATTAAGATGTTCTATATAAAATACACAAACATTCAATAAAAAAAGTTTTAAAAAAGAAAGAAATGCTCCAGCCCCATAATGGTACTTTTTAAAATTTGAGACAGGGTCTTGCTATACAGCTCCAGCTGGCTTCAAATCAATTTTGCTGCCTCAAACTCTCAGGTACCAGGATTACAGGCATTCACCACTGCACCTGGCCTGAATGGTGCTCTTAGAAAAGTACCAGGTTTCACTATGTCCAGAAATACTCTGCCTGATTCAGTGCTCATTAAGTGACAATGGATTGTAACCCTTACTTTTCAGCTTTGGTTCTAAGATTAGTCATAAGTTATAGAGGATATACTTACTCTAAGTAGTTAAAAGAAATGGATTCCTGAATTATTTTGTTGATAAGTGAGAGCTTATTTGAGAAAGAAATAGACCTAAAGTTCAGACTGTTGTGCCCCTTATTCATTTAGAATTGTACTTAGGGCAGGTGATTTCTTCTGCTACTGCCATACCTGCTGCGGTCTTTGTAATGTACCTAACCTTGTTTTCTTTCTTTAAAGAGAATTGCCAATTTAGCAAAGGAAACGTGAGGAGTACCAACCAAAAGACTACTTGTTCAATAAATTGTGTTATGAGCCAAGAGTCAGTCTATTAAAGAACAAAACCAAACACAAACTACACACACACCTTTCATTAACATAGGTTGAGTGCCCTAATCCAAAATGCTTGGGACTAGGACTGCCAAGATGGCTCAGCAGGTAAAAGTGCTTGCCACCAAGCCTGACTACTGGAGTTCGATTTCCAGGACCCACATGGTAGAAGGAAAGAACTGACTCTCACCAGTTGTCCTAAGACTTCCACATGTATGCTGGGACATGTATACCCATGCATACACACCCACAGGAACAAATGAATGTAATAAAAAAAAAATGCTTGAGATCATAAGCCTTTCAGATTTCAGAGGTTCTTAGACTTTTTTTTTGAGAGCTGAGATCAGGTCAGCTCAACTGCAACTCATTTGTCTTGTGATTACACAGATTGTTTACTCAGGGCAGTCAAATGTACTTCTGTGGTTAGAAATACAAACTGCCATAGGCCCCTAAGCAAAGAGTGGACTTAATCTGCCACAATCACTAAGAATAAGCACCCATATCCCTTCAGAAAGGGTTTAGAATTACTGGAATTTGAAAACTGATAATATAACCATACCTAACTTTCTCTTCATTCTAAACTTTCTCTCCTGTATAAAATTAGGAGTGTGTGTTCTCAGTTGTCAAACTTCCCTGTGATTTGTAACGACTAAGCATTCTGACTATGCCTTCTTTCCCGACGAAATAAACATTTATACCAAATGGCAGAAACACTTCTGTTAAATTTCTGAAGCATCAGAGGCTTGGCTTTTTTCAAAAAGAAAGAAAAGAGACAACTGCATATTTATACAAGCCCCACCAGGAGCCTGGAAAACAGATGCACACGGTCAGAACTAGTATTTAGTACACTCAATGAAGACACAGACTAGACAAGTACCAAACTTCTAAAATTATACAAGTCATGATAGCTGAGCACTTTAAGGTTTGGATCTGAGCCAGGTGTGGTGGTGGCACATGCTTGTAACCCTGGTCGGGGTAAATGGACACTCATGGACTTGAGGCACAAGGATTAAGTATTTGAGGCGAGCATGTACAGTGTATCTCAAAACTAACCAGATGGGTCTGGTTACATTGGCCTCTAAGCCCAGCTACACAGGAGGCTGAGGCAGGAAGATGGTGAGATCAAGGCCTTCCCGGGATACAGAATGAGCTCCTGCAATGTAGTGACACAACAAGAGAAAGTAAAAAGTGAGCTCATGCAACTAACAACAAGAAAAAGTAAAGAGAACTGGGGAGACAGCTCAGGGATAGAGCACTTGCCATCACACGTGCAATGCCCTAGTTCAACTCTCAGTAACAAGAGGAAATAAAATTTAAAAAAACAAAGCCCAAACCAAAATCAAATTAGAACCGCATCTACCTAGTGTTTCATACTGCTTATACTACGTTCTGAGCTTTAAAGTTTTTTGTTATCTCCAAAGCTCTGTCTCAGAAGAGTGACAAATACTTTTATATTTGAACCCAAAACAGAGTTGGCACAAAGGACATTCCTGTGTTTAGCAAAAAAATCCAGTAAGTTCAGGGCTGAAGAGATGGTTCAGTGGTTAAGAGCACTAGTTGCTCTTCCAGAGGACCTGGGTTCAGTTCCCAGCATTCACATGGTGGCTAACACCCATCTATAACTCCAGTTCCAGGAATCTAATGCCCTCTTCTGGCATCCGCAGGTACCGGGCATGTATATGGTGTACTTATAGGCATAAGACTCATATACATAAAATAAAAAACAAAATCTTAAAAGAAAAATTAAAAATATCCAGTAAGTCTCTGCCTTTGCCTTTTCTGCCCAGTAGATCTGGCTATAATCCAAGCAGGATACCTGATTTACAAGAATTTCCTGAGCCAGCTGGCAGGATCACTTAATGCACAAGCAAACTGAATACTATCCACATTGAAGCTTTTGATCTGGAATCAAATCTAAGTCCTCAGACCTTTTTCATAAAGGATAACCTAGTTGTTTCAAAGTACACCCTCCTCCTGTTAATGGTACCCCTAATTACCCACACATATAAAAATATATTCTTGGCCAGGCGTGGTGGCCTTTAGTCCCAGCACTCGGGAGGCAGAGGCAGGCAGATCTCTGTGAGTTCAAGGCTAGCCTGGTCTACATAGTGAGTTCCAGGACAGCTGGGGCTACAGGGAGACCCTGCCTCAAAAAGCCAAAAAAAAAAAAAAAAAAAAAAAAAAAAAAAAAGTATTCTTGTACACTTAACAACATTAGAATTATTTTAAAAGGTGGGGTGGGATGCATCAGGATGGCTCAATAGTTAAGAGCACTTGCCTCTCAAGCCTGGCAACTTGAGTTCAAGCCCTGGAACCTTATGTAAAGCTGAAAGAAGAGAATCAACTCCACAGTCCTCTGACCTCCAATGTGCACTCTGGTACTTATGCCCCACCCCCTACACCAAATACAAGTTTTTTAAGTTAAAAAGAAAGAAAAACTTTTATAATGCCAGGTGGGTTTTTTTCTTTTTTGGTCTTTTTGGGCCTTGCTGTGTAGACCAGGCTGGCGTCAAACCCACAGAGATCTGCCTGCCTCTGCTGGGATTAAAGGTACGTACCACCATGCCTGGCCATAATGCCAGATTTTTTAAAGGCTACAATTCAAAATAACTTCTGTCATCCATACCCTTATTTGTATTTTAAACAAGTAACTTCCTTAAAAACAAAAGATCTCCTCCAACTTCTCAGGCAGTAATCAGAAATGCTGAGGCCCTTCCATCTGACCACTGGAGAAATCCAGTTGTCTCAAGAGTCTGTGCTTGTAGAAGAAGCTAATTACATCACAGACACAACAGGTGTACAAGACTTTACTGCCTCAGAGAAACCTGAATAAAGGTGTTTTGCAGGACCCAAAATGTCATCTCAGTTTTCTACTTTGGAGTGTCTTGAAACAGTTCTAAGAGCAGGAGTTCCAATGATGGTGATCCTTGGCTGTCTGATCACTTATGAAGATGGAAACCAGCTAGGTGTCAAGTTGCTTTCCTTCCTTAGCACTGTCAAAAGCAACAACTGGTGCCTTAATTAGCCACACTGCTCCTGTTTCCTACCTCCTGATTACTCAGAATGACCTGAGGCATTATTGTGAAGTGTGTTACAGTACAATGGACATATTACTGGACCAAAACCAGATAATCAAGCCAGCCAAATGAGAGAGTTCAAATGGGGAGATTCAGCAATTCACATCAACTTTCAGGAAATCAGATGTGCCTGAGTTAATACAACTGCGGGACTCCCACAAGAACACATCCAATTAGAGGTCTCTCATTAACTGTGGTACATAATTACCCTCAGGATGCTTGCTCTCCTCCCTCCACCTGGGGGCCTGGTTCAGGCAGGATCCACAGAGGCTCTGCATAAACTGGATCTCTTGCTAGGGTCTAAGTGCCAGCAGAAATGCGGCACATTTCTTGGTACAAGTGCAGTGCAATGTACAATCTATTTCCTTTTTAAAAATTCATACTATTGGGGCTGGAAAGATGGCTCAGTGGTTAAGAGCACTGACTGCTCTTGCAGAGGACCCAGGTTCAATTCCCAGCACCCACATGGCGGCTACGAACCGTCCTTAACTCCAGTTCCAGGGGAATCCGAAGCCCTCTTCTGACCTCCTCGGCACTGCACGACACAGGTGCACTCACATACATGCGGGCAATACACTCATACACATAAAATTTTAAAAAAAAATTCATACTATTATGTGTGCATATAACGTATATGTGTGTGAGAGCAGGGACACATGGAGAGTCAGAAGACAACTTTCAACAGTCAGGTCTATCCTTCCACTGTGGGTTCTGGGACTCAAATTCAGGTTATCAGGCTTGAGTGACAAACCCTACATGTCTATTTCTGAGTCAGGCCCAGTAAGACTGCATGTAGGAACACAAGATTTCATCGTTTTTTATTTATTATTTTTATTTTATGTGTATGCGTGTATTGCCTGCGTGTAGATAAGTGCGCCCATGTTGTGCAATGCCTGCCAAGGACAGAAGAGGCTGTTGGATCCCCTGGAACTGGAGTTTCGGACAGTTGTTAGCTGCCATGTGGGTGCTGGGATTTGAACCTGGGTCTTCTGCAAGAACAACCAGTGTTCTTAACCGCTGAGCCATCTCTCCAGCCCCACAAGAGTTCATCTTTTTTTTTTTGGTCTTTTTTGAGACAAGGTCTCCCAGTAGCCCCAGCTGGCCTGGCCTGGAACTCACTATGTAGACCAGGCTGGCCTTGAACTCACAGAGATCCGCCTGCCTCTGCCTCCCGAGTTCTGGGACTACAGGCGTGCACCACCACGCCTGGCTATATTTTATATTTTTTATTTTATGTATATGAGTGTATTGCCTGAATGTATGTAAGTGCATACATGTTGTACAATCAATGCCCACAAAGGTCAAAAGGCAGCACCAGATCCCCTATAGTTAGAGATATAGATGCAGTTAGCTGCCCTGTGGGTGCTGGAATTCGAACTGGGTCCTCTGCAAGAGGAGCCAGTGCTCTTAACCACAGAGTAATCTCTCCAGTGCCCCAAAGCTGTATTTTATTTTTTATTTTATTTACTATTTTTATTTTATGTGTAGGAGTGTTATGCCTGCATTTAGGTAAGTGCACCTGTGTCATGTAGTGCCCACGGAGAAGAGGCTGTCGGATCCCCTGCAACTGGAGTTACAGACAGTTGTTAGCTGCCATGCGGATGCCGGGATTCGAACCTGGGTCTTCTGCAAGAAGAGTCAGTATCCTTAACCGCTGAGCCATCTCTCCAGCCCCACAAAGCTGTATTTTAAAGGCATGACTATTTATAGTTGTAATATAGGTTGGGTATACAGCCAGAGTAAATCATTTGCCTGATATGCAAGAGGCTTTAAGTTTGATGTTTAGCACTGAAATAAAAATTAATTTTAGAGACCCACTGGTAATAAACTACCCAA